TTTTTTTTTTTTGACAATAGTGAAGATTGAACCCAGGCCTGGTGCATGCTGGGCAAATGCTATAACACTGAGCTACAGCACCAAAATCATCAAGCACGATCTTTAAATGCCTTCCAACAGTGATGTTGTCAAATAGGGTGTGGGTATGTGTGCATGTGCGTGCGTGTGTGTGTGTGTGTGTGTGTGAGAGAGAGAGAGAGAGAGAGAGAGACTTCACGTCTTTAATTTGGTCTAGTGTCTAGAATGTCACTGTAAAACTATGAGTCCTCTATAGTACAGAAACCCTCACTGTTGTTCCTTTCCTGTTTATTCTTTCTCCCTAGTTCCCACCTAAATACCACTGGTCATATCCTAGGTCAGTATATATTTTACTTCCTTCACTAAGTATGTAATTGTTACCTAGATCACTATAATCTCGGCACCTTCCTGCCTGAAGACCCTTATGACTGTAAGATTTTCTCCCTATTTTATCACGTAACTATATGATCCTTCTTGCATTGAGACCTGAAGTCAGAACAATTAAAAGCAGGGACAGTAGAGTCACTTACACCCAGGTTCAAATCTGATTATGCTTCTTCATAGACGTGTAACTCTGGATATATGTTAACTTTCAAGCTGCATGTTAGTAAAAGAAGGGTGATAATGCACAAGTCACAGTCACAGAAGCAAAAAGTAAAATGGTAGTTGCTAAGATTAGGGGTAGGGGAAAAGGGGTGAAATTAGACCAAGGATAAAAAGGAGGAAAAGGAAGAAGAGGGGGAAGAGAAGGAAGGGTGTCCCACCTTACAGATAAGCAGAAAATAAATATGAATAATGTCTGTTTTTTAAGATCCATTACTCACATGGTGTTATTTCAGAAAAGCCTGATAATCAAAGAATACAATCCAGTGAGAAACATTGATTTTATGATAGCTTAAATTTTAACTCATGTATTTCTGTACCTGGAAGGAATATATAATAATAACAATAATAATAATAAACCTTTACAAAGCCCTTTCTTTTCCCATCTGCTTCCCTTATCATAAGTGTTTATCAGGAACCAGGGCCTCACACATGCTAGGCAAGTGCTCTACCACTGAGCTATACCCTCAGGCCTTCAGAACCTTACTTCTTTTACCTTTGAACTAACTCCTCCTCTGCCAGCCCAAATAGCCACAATCTTGCCTGCTTATCCCACCCCCCCCTTTTTAAACTCTGGTTCTTTGTGTTGCCCCCTTCTTGCAAATCTGGATACCAAAACAACCAGAGCTGGCAAAATCCAATTTTCTCCTATGGACACTGAGAGGGTGAAGAAGGTGGTGGGAACAGAGGGAGGAGTCCAGATATTTGCATAATTTTTGTTCTATCATACAGCAGTACCCATCATCTACAACAGCTTCTACTATCTTATTCTTGCCATACATTATAGAATTAAATAATAATTATATTCATTTTCTTTATAAATATGCAGCCAGCTTAACTACATTTCAAGCTCCTTTAGAAAGAACTTCTGTTACATTTTTATACTTCATACCCATAGAACTTGGTGTACTGATAGAAATAGTCTCCCATTTCTGCCATCCAACATGGTAGCCACTAACAGCATGTGACCACTGAGTATTGGAAGTCAAATACTGTTATTGTATTAGATTCATTTAATTTACATTATAAAATCCGATAGGGGTAGTGGCCACCATATTGGACAGAGTAGATCCTAACTACCACAGAACCTGGGCAAAGTAATGACTTCAATTGACTGAATGAATGAGTAAATGATTAGGTTTTAAAAACTAGAAATTGCACAGTTCCAGTGGATATTTTTACAGGATAAATAGTATAGATACTTTCTCAATCTTCTGACCTGGATGGGTAGTGTCTGCTTTCTTATTGCTGTGTACTCTACTCTTTGTAGTTTTTGTGCTCAAAAACGAATAGCAAATGCTAAAATATGATAAACAAGATTCCATATTTAGCCCTCACTTTTTCTTTGATCAATATAAATTCATTCTGAAGCTGAGGAAAGCCTCTTTTGTTTTTCAGAATTAAAATAACCTGCAACGTACATGTTTTATTTAATGGTGAGTTCTTGTTATAACATTTCCCTTCAGGAATGAAAGAGATAAGAGATAAGCTATTGTCACTGTATCCACAAGCAAATACAAGCATCCTCCTAAAAAATTGAAGAGAAATGTCAAAAAGGTTCATCATATATTAAAGATGCATGGACAGGTTATCTCTCTCATATATTGAAAGACTGGATGTTTTTAAATATTTGTAGACCATTATAAGATAGTCAAGGGTTTGACAGCATTAAAATAATATTTATATCAGTAGCACTATGATCTCAATTGCCTCAATATAACAATGTCATTACTCCTGTGATAATTCATCTGAATAGTAATTGTTTCTAAGAATATTGAGCCTTTTCAAAGAATATCTTTATGTTGTCAAATTTATTTCTTTATCTTTTTGTATTTTTAAAACATTACCTTTGAATAAGCCCTATTGTTTCAGATCCATTCCCTCTTCCAGGAGTGACAATTAAAAAAAAAAAAAAAAAGATAAAATGAAGTCACGAGGAGATTCCCAAAAGCACAGGAACGAGGAGCATTATATTCAACTTGAACAGGGATCTTAAAAATAGGGTAACCATAAAATATCTCAGCAAGCAAATAATGCAGACACAAAAGGACAAGATCAGAGTGATTCCACTTAGAAGAAGTACACAGAATAGTCAAACTCTCAGAGATAGGAAGCTGGTTAGGTTAGGGGCTTGGGGCAGGGTTGGGGGAGCCAAGGTTTGTTGCTTAATGAGTACAGAATCTCTGTTTGGAGTGATAAGAAAGTTTTAAAATTAGATAATAGTGATGATTGTACAACTCTGTGAATGTAATTCATGCTTCTGAATGATACACTTTAAAATGGTTAGAAAAGCAAATTTGGGGTTATATGTATTTTATACAATTTCAAAAAGAATTGGTAATCCAAATTTTACATAAAAGAAAAGGAGCCCTGAAAGAGGCCAACAGTCAAGTTTAATCCCAAGATTAGGATTTAGCCCAGCAAAGTCATATTTAAAATGTATAACTTTACAGCTTTGATTTTTATACATAATAGCCTGTAAGGAAACAAGGTTGCCCTCTAAAAAGAAATGCAGGAAGCTAATGATCAATGGCATTTCACTTGAAGAGGAGGAAAAGGTGTTATTAGGACTCAGGAGAGGCTGCTGCTGCAAGCCCTACACATGTGGATGATGCTGGAGTACAGTTACACCCTTCCCAGATAGCTCATAGACCAACCACAGAAAAAGAATGAGGGGCTGTCCCAAGTGAACTGACTTAAGGCGATATTTTTTTAGTGATATGTGGCTGTGGTGTGATACTTGTACTGGAAAGGACTCTCAGGGCCATTTTCCTTCCTTTTGACTTGAAACAGGACAGCAAATAAGTCATCTCGAGCTGAGAACTTACACCTTGTCTGACAACTTCCCAAAAGATCCCCTGGATGTCTGATCCATGTCTCTTAGATGAGAATTTAAAATGCTCCTTTTGTCATGCCTAATTAGAAGTGGGCAGGAAGCCACAGCATCTTCTTGTTAGCTTCTAAGTCTTTCACAATCCAGAGTCTAATGGATCAAGTGCTCAAGGCAGCCGGTAAGTGGTGGGGCCTTGCTCCTCCTTCATGTCAGGATTAAGGCAGGAAAGCAGAGCCAAAATATTTAGTAGGGAAATGAGGGAATGGGTCTAGGAATGAGATCATACACAAGTGTGGAGGGAGCTGGGCAAGGTTTGGAAGTGAGAATAAGAGGAACAGAGAAAGTGTTACCAAGGTGCCTTGTTTGATGTCCTGACATGCAGTGCGAGCATCTACGACATGGTAGGGAAACCCAAGAAGCCTCACTCATCTAGATGACAGAGTGGGTCATAGAGGAGGACTCCATGGAGGGGTCGAAGAGAGCCATGCCCTGGCAGACTCGTGGGCCACAGCCACACACTGTGGACCATCTGGAGCCATTGCTGATCAAAGGCCAAAAGGAGAGAACACTGATGACTCGAAAGCACAGCAGAGGCACCTACTCTCCATTTCTGCTTCTGTCCCTCACTATAATGGCCATGCAACCCTCCATGAATGACAGCTGCTGATTTGCTCCCATCGTCCAAATCGCCTGTGACCAACTCTGTGACTGTGGCACAGTCAATTTGAAAATCGCAATGCATATAAGCTATAGCTGTTCTGTACCTTATAATTAATGTGTAGATGTAAGCTTTAAAAAAAATCAAAAGTGTTCCTTGAATCTAGTAACAACATGTTTTTGCCCACTCTGTTCTTGCCCCATTAAGGATAAACAAAAACATTGATTGTTGATTTTTAAAAGTCAGTATTTCACTTTTTCCCTCCTGACCCTGTTTCACTTCATAACTGATGATAGGAAAGATAGCGCTTTGTTATTCCCCATCACATCAGGCTGAGTCACAAGACTGTCATCCCACATCTCCAGTGCAATTGGAGAACATTATCTGTCAGCCAATTGAGCAGTTTCTAAATTGACTGCCTTTCCTGACTGTCTCAAATCCAGAAGTAGAGTTTTGTTGGCAGTGATAACAGTTTGCAAACAACCAAAATATCCACCATTAGAAAAGTGGTTAAATAAGTTATGAAAGAAATACTTAGTGGAATACTGTATAGAGTTCAGAGGGAAAGTGAGACCTTGTCCTTACTATGGAACCACCATACGTTATTTTGCTAAGTGAAAAAAGCCATGTGAGAACAGCATATATGACACCATTAAGCAAAGGGATGCATATATCATTCACCTCCAAGGAAAGTGATCAGAAAGGGAATCACCAAGGAGAAAGAATATATCATCTTTGAATATTGTGCCATGGGTTTAGACAGACAGACAGACAGACAGACAAGACCCTCAGTGGTCTGCCTTGTCAGATAGTGTTATCTGGCATATAAAATCCCAAATCTTTGTTTTGGTATCAATGATGCCCAGAAGAAAGAATGTTATAATAATCTATATCATAATTAGAACTCTAAATTCTCATATTGGGCTAATGTACCAAAAGTGTAAACACATACAAGAGACATATGCAAAATATCCTACTTCTTGCATTTCATTTTTCATTACATCCAATATTTTAGTGTGTTTATATATTTTGTGACGTGAATTTAAAGATCTAAGAAAATTAAGTTGTAACATTTTTTTCCTCTGATTCACTTTCTATTTCAAACTTCAGAAAGAAGCCCCCTCATCTGTTTATCAGAATCAGTTATTAAAGGAAGGAGAATGTTATTATTAAGTCAGTTAAGAGGCTTATTCTGTCCCTTCAACTTTGCTTGGACCACCTGCTACAGGAGGACTGGATTTGCTGTGTTTTCCCTTTGTAATTTATTTCCTCTGTCTAAATTACATTTCCCTCTTTTAGTCTGTCCAGATGTTTTACAGGTGCTTAACTTCTGAGCTTCTCACTAAAAAGACAAATGTTCTTTCTCATATGTACCTATGGATAAAAAACAAACTGCCTTTTACATGAAATCTTACCCTTGTACTACACAAATCACACCCTCAAAAGAGCACACCAGTATGAGCCTGAGGTTGGCGCTGATTTCCTAGGAATGGGGACTTTTCTCATACATGAGCCCTGACTCTCCCTCTCCATTTTCTCCTGACCTTTTGCTAGTTAATGTCCACATTCAAAATACTTAAAGTGATCATTATGAAAGGGATGTAGAACATGATCACACAAATAGAGACTTTCTCCTCTGGTACTGTACTGCCTTGACCATCTCCTGATATTCAGAGCGAAAGACACTAAAAATATGATATTGGCATATTTTAGGATGATTATCAGATTTCTTTCATGCAAACCTGTGCTTGAATTTTCTTCCCTTTCAGTGGCTCATCCATATGCCAAAGAACATTCATTCTTCTTTTCCATCAGTACAGGGCCTTCACACTGAGCCATATTCCTAACCCTTTTTTATTTTTTATGTTGAGACAGAGTCTTGCTAAATCACTAAATATCCCAAGGTGGGCTTGAACTTGTGATCCTCCTGCCTTAGCCTCCCAGAGTGCTCACATTAAAGATCTGTTCCATCATGCCTGGCAGCACTAATTCTTCATAAAACTGCTGGCTCTACTACCAGCACCGAACAACTATCTCAAATCAGGATAAAGATCAGCACCTGAAGGCAAGGGCTGTGCTAGCATGTCCTTGCAGCTGCATCTCCAGTTCTCAATTTAGTCTATAGTTTCCTATTATTCTTTTATAGCATGAGAAGCTGCCTTGTCACAGCTGTCTCCCATTAGAAATGGTTTATTTAGAAAACATTGGGGAATAGACAAGGTTGATGCTCTGAACTCCAATATTAGTATCTTACCATGCCCCTTTCTCTTCCCGAGGTAGAAAACTGAAGATCAGGGTGAAGGTCATCTCCTATTATGCTCTCTTTGCTTCACTTCCTTCTAGCTGCTGGACTTCGTGCTGCTCTTTCTAACTTGGAATTTTGGCACTTGCTGTTGCTTCTGTCTAGAATGATCTTCTTCTAAAGAGCAGAGCTCACTCCTTCATTTTCTTCGTGTCATTATTCAAGTGTCGCTTTTCTTGGTCACCCTGTTTAACATGACCATCCCTAGAGCTTCCTTTCCACCTTCCCACTTAATTTGTGTCTGAGGGCCTTCATTTTATATATTTTAATTTTTGTTATTTTATCATTCTATTACAAATTACATGAGGACAGAGAATTTTGTCTACGTTTTTTCACTGCTGTACTCCGAAGGAATTAGTGAAGTCTGTCTAGCACCATTGTGGCTCTACCCACGCTAATTTTGGAGCCTATTCTCCATTCTTTGGAGACCATCTCCTCAGCAACTCCATCCATGTGGTTACCATGGGATCTTCCACGTAGCCCAGCAGGACTCCAGCCCTTGGCCTTCATTGTTAGATATGAAAGTACATCCCTTACTTGCACAGGAGAAGAGATCGATCTGCCTCAGAAAACTTGGAATCTAGATCAAAAGCTCAAAGTTCAACCTGATCATTCCACTGAACTGAGAAAATGCAAGCCTACAGCTACTGTTGACAAGCAAAGCTTTTATCTGTGTGGACCGTCAAACAGAGCAGGTCTGCAGCTGACAGCAGAGTGGAACATCATGTATAGAAGCACCAAGGTATGACCTGATATGGTCTTCATGACCTTAGAGTCTGATTTCAACTCACTTATGAGAGTCAGCTGCACACCTATCCTTCCATTTTAAAATACCCTTATATCCTTACACTGCATTCTCCCTTTAAAAAAATAGGGTCTATGGGGTGCAGCTCAGTGGTAGAGCACTTGCCTAACATGCATGAAGCCTGAGTTTCAGCCCCACTACGACAACGTAAAGCAAACAAAAACAAAAGACCCACTAAAGATGGTTGTCTATCGATAGTTAACAAAATTATGATCTCCTTTAAGGCTGCTAGAAACTTGAGGAGGTAGCTAATCTTTCTCTCAGTTTACAGATGAGGAAATCTCAATAAGGTTATGGGAAGTGACAGAGCTGGATTTTTTAGGGGAGATGGGAAGTCAGTTCTCCAGTTTGTAAGGACTTTCACTCTTGCAATTCAGTCAAGTCCAACCATCTTGAAGCTTTGTCGTTTGAAGTTTTTTTGTCACTGAGATTTTTACGTACATGAAGTAGAATAGCACTGTACAACAGCTCCCCCTGAGCATGTGAACCAGCTTCAATCCTGCTCGGCTTCATTAGCCTTGTTTCTTGATGGATATCCAAGCAGTAGACAAAAAAAATTTTTAGAAAAACAAACTCACAAAGACAAAAACAAGCTTGGTAAGATTCCAGTCATTAAAGTAGTTTCTAAAGAAATACTGGGTGATGATCCTCCATAGGGAACGGCCGAAAAAGAAGAGACTCTGAGCTCAAGGGGCTAAGCCACTGAAGCATGCAGCGTACATGAGTGTGGAGTGGCATCAAAGGCAGGAGGGGAGGAGATGGGGGAGAGAAAAAGAGAGTGGGAGAAGGAGAGGGAGGGGAGAGAAAGGGGG